CAGATGCATGGATGGCATAGCATAGGTTTGTCTGAACTGTACTTAGCTTTTGATTGCTTATCATTCAATAAACAAATATGATGGGACTTTCATACATATATTATAGTCAGCTTTTCTCGAGTCATTCCCATTCTCCAGCATAGAGATTAAGGTTTATTTAACTTGAAGTATTTCGTGCTCGTATCTTCAAAAACATTCCTTGGCTTTAGCCATCATGCTAGAACGTTAAATGTTTTTGTACTACTACTTAATTATGCCGATTTCGCCACCGGAGTTGGATCATTCTGTACCTATCAAAGCTCTTCAAGAAGACAATTTCGCTGATATTTCTGTACAACATGTTTAGCATGGGCAGAGTTTCAAAGAGGAACCATATTGTAAAAAGCGATGTTGAAGCAACACGAGGTTTGGACATGAGTAAGCTATGAAACTTAAGTTTTTTCACAAAAGAATTTGTGTCGTGATAAGGTAAGGCTTCTCTCTTTAGGTTGTTCGGTACAGAAAACTTTGTAGGGTTCTCTGAATTAAACATTTTCAGCTGCTAGTTGGTGTAGTGCAAATGAGATGTTAAGTCATTGGAAATGCGAAGTAAAAAACTAAAAACTACGTAGTTCTGATTCACAAGAGAAAAAGATTTTTTAGCTCCTTCTTATCTATTTCAACAGAAGTAGTTTATTTGTTCTGTATTTGGTTACTAAAAACTTAAAGCATATCAATTTCTCATAATCACGTTTTGCGAATGACTTGATTACGTTTAGCAAAGAAAAGTAGATCTTCAAAGAGCGCCAGTTTCTTTTCGGACAGTACATTGATCATTTCGGTTCTTTCCGCTTCTGATAAATTTCGTAAGCCAATCTGAAACAAGTTTTTGAAGGTTCATCCTTATTTTATGTCCTTCGCTCAAAAGTAGGAATACGAAACAAGGAGTGGAAATTTCAGAGAATCTTACATTAGCGACCGATTCAAACACGGGAAGTAGCAACACTCCCGCCATTGGAAACATTCGACGATAGCTCTCTTTGAGCTGCAAACAGAACTTCCAAAATATCCTCTAATAACAAGCTTAGATTGACTAACCTGGTCCAATGTAAATGGAAGCTCCCTTTTACAGTAATCTATTATATATCCGAAGAACTGTTCAAGCAGCCGCTCCCAATTTTCACGACGGTCTTTTCCATTCATTGTAGTAATGAACAATCTCGTCAGATCTTCCGCGACGCATCCGAAGTGAGACAACTAAACAATAGC